ATCATCATCATCATCATCATCATCATCATCATCATCATCATCATCATTCATCCTCCTCTCCATCCCCCATCCTTAGTTCTCTAGGCCTCAGTTTTTCTTCGTTCAAAACCTCCGTTGTCAGGTTGTCCGTTTGCTTGAGGACAGATTGTTGAAACCTTCGGCTTTAGATGGCTTTAGGTGGTTCAATTTTCTGCAAACCGATTGATGACGGACATTGCTTGAGTTGTAAAGGGTTTTTGGACTTGGGAAAAGCAGGTCTCCTTTTGATGCCGGATTCGTTTCTTACGGAGACCATCCACGGGGGTAGATCAATCGTAGACTGCTGTGTTTTCACCATTGAGAACCCACCAAAAACTGTACCCTTGCTGGGAGAAGTCAATGACTTCACCAATCTTTTCTCCAGAAATCGGTCGTCACACCTTCAGACTCCTTGTAGTGGTGTTTTAGCAGGAAACCTCGTAGGACCTCGGGGCAGCGTGGAGACCATCTACATGGACAACTGAGAGCTGATTGCTGCCATCTAAGGAGTTAGGGTATCGACACCAAACCTCCATTGAACATGTGGATTCTTCAAAGGGAGGTCTCTGGGAATGGGTTCTGGAGGATCTCATGACGGCTGCGTTTCTTCCCATGCATCCTTCGCGGCTTGCCACCACAGTTGACGCAATGACCGAAGTGGAAGACAGAGAGTTTTAGGGAAGGGCAATTTCTTGGTGTTGGCGCGCATGTGGCTGAGGGCACCCAACCAGCCTGGTTTGTGTCATGCAGTTTCGATCCGGGTGCCAGGTGGGCAACTGGACGGTTTTGCCCAGAGCTACTTTGCACATGAAAAATGCAGATGGCCTTGCTCAACTCGTGTCTCCTAGTATGTCCCGCAGTGAGAGATAGCTTGCTGTGGCAGACGACAGACGACGTTCAAGCCATAGCCACCGCCCAGATTCATTGATTGCACCGGTGCGAGCCTGCGAGCCCAGGAAGACCCACGTTTGGCGCCTCACTTGGCGCTCATGTGCTCTTCCTTTTGCCACTGGGTCGCACTGCGCAGGGCACGTGCAGCACGAGTGTAGGAGGGAGGAGTAGGTTCTTGGGCGTGCAAACTGTAACTGTAGTACTCCTTCAGCAGATTCAGCTGTTATGTCCCCGTGTTGATACGTCTCTTCCAGCTTGTGCAGCACCGGAAGACACTTCAATAGCGGCACTTACAAAGCTTTCAGCCTGGCTGCGCGTGCAGAACATGCTCTAGAGTTGCTGTTATGTAAGTAGGTGCGGTATGGGTCATGATTTTCCACCAGGCTTGAAGACTTGCATGAAGAAGTGCATGTGCCAACTTTTGATCTGAGGTTACCACGCGGATTCTCATCAAGAATTCGTGTTGCAGGGCGGCGTTCGCCTTGTGATCCAGATGTACAGCAAGTCCAAGGCCGGGCACGTTGACTGAGACTGACGCAGCGTGTCGACAAACCAGCAAGGAGATGGGACATTCTGTTTCGTAAACGAACACATGTTCCGAAACTGTCACCATTTTTGTTCTTTGGGGAAAGCTATTAAAAAAACATTTGCAACCGACGTGTGATCTTTCAAGGTGCAACCCTCATGTTGATTTAACAAACACTCAATAGATGTTTATATATAGTTTTCTTCATTTTCGAGATTTCCATGTGGCAGAATGATACTGACACTTCTGATCATCTGGCCCTCCATTGAAACCCCTGCTAATTTGCTTGCGTGCGAGCTTCTCTTGATGCCGGCCCATGAGCACACTCAGGTTCCAACCATGTCATTCCATGTTTTTCGACTTGGTTCACATCCGCATGTTACGAGAATTGTCCTTGAAGACTGCGAAACCGCAGGATCTTGGTGGATGGTTGCGTGAGAATGGCCACAGAAACGACCTCTGTCCACCCGAAACAAAAAGAACCTGACCCTTCACAGAAAATTCACCACCCGAAACCCAACCTTGAAAATCCACCTCCCTGTTGGTTGAAAGGAACCCTCCAAACTCTCGCATTTTCTCGTCCGCTCTCTGCGCAGGTGGAGCACGTAAGGTTATGCTGTTTGCTCTGCCTGTTGTACCTGGCCGAGAGCGGCTCCTCGCAGCGCGCCATCGCCCAGGAGAAGGCCAGACATAGGGCCGCGAGAGAGAGAACTCCGAGCCGAAACGGTGCGGAAAGATGCGCGGTGCGGAGGTTTGGGGTTTTGGAGGTGAGGTTGGGCCGGTTCAGTGCGGAAAAGGAACGTTTTTCGTGAGATCATGTTCGGAGTCGGAGGAAGGGTGTTAAATGGGAGATCCTGGTGGACAGATTGGACCATATAATTGATATAGCAACCTGAAACGACCACTTTTTTTGGTTGTTTCTTCAAACAACCGTATATTTCCAAAAGGACCATTAAACCATGGTCTTTTCTTAAACGACCGTATTTTTGTCAATTATGATGGTGTTCAAATATTATACATCATGCACAATGCATATCAAGCAGTTGATTTGTGAAATCGTACACGACGGTATACGACCGTATATTTCTGGAAACGACCGTATATTTTTTGAACCACGACCGTATTTTGTTGAAACGACCGTATATTCTTCGAACCACGACCGTATACGGGCCGTATGCAAACCGTATGCAAACCGTATAAAATACGACCAAATTGTTCATGTATAAAATGACTGCAAGATAAAACGACTGTATTTTTTGAATCGACCAAAAAAATTGATTGTTTTCAAAACGACCAAAAAAAGTGGTCGTTTCGGGTTGCAGGTATATATATAGGATGTTTGACTTGGGTTGGTGCTGAGCACTGTGGCTTGTAAGACTTGGTTGGAAGAGTGACGGGAAGGGTTGATCATGTTCAGTCAGTGCTGCTGTTCCAACAGCGGTTCCAACAGCAAGCCTTAGCTGGTCCTTTTTCTTCGAAGGGAATTGATCCGGAAGAATTGGGAGGTGCATCCAGGTGCAAGTCTCAACATATTGCAGGGCCGAGCAAGAGAACTTCTTTTGCGATAGCTGACGACCAAATTGTCCCAAATCACTCACTGTGCGCTGAATACATGTATTTGTATGTAATAGCCCTCTGATTGCCGAACATGGCTCATCACAACGTATCGACAAAGGGATATTCAAGGCTATTCGTTCATCGCCATGTGGAACAATAGACCAAGGCGACCAAAGCATCGTTGGGAGTTGTCTATTGTCTAACCACTTAGCTCCCAAAACCTGAGCTTTACCGCTCGGTGTGGAAATCCCCGAAACGGGGAGGTGCCAGGTCGGACATCCACATGCTGGCCACCCCGAGAAAGCAACGTCGAGCCCAGAAAAATGTCATGTTTGTTTTCGTTGTCCTCTTGATATGTTCAACCAGGCAATTGAAGGCCTGTTCAGAGGTTTTACCATCCATGGACCTAATCATAAGGGGGGGATTTCTTCCAAAAGGTCCAAGAACTTCGACACCTCTTCAGCTCCTGCTCCCGGTCTCTTCGCAGCTATCTCGCAGCCGTCACCACGCCTTTCGCGAAGCTCCTTCGCCCACCTTCGCTTAGCTTCTTCGCGGCCTTTCGATCCTTCGCAGGGCGTGAAGATGTTGCTGACGGCCTGTGAAAACGAGACCCACATCGATCTCATCGTGAACGCCTTGAAGGCCTCAGGGCGTCTTTTTTCAAACGGGGCGGGGTCCGTGGGTCCATTGGAAGGTCGAAGTGGAAGTGGATGAATTATATTGATTCTGGTCCAAAAGGTATAAAAGCCCACATATATACCTATATATATCTATATATCTATATCTATATATACACATTGTTATTTTGGACCTTCTTCTATGTACTTCACTATAGGTGAAGTTTTGTATGATTTTGGACTCATGTGGATCCGGTAGGGCATGGGTGTGGTGGTGGTGTGGTGTGTGGTTTGGTAGGTCGAACACATGAGACCGACACACTCGGTTTCACCAGTCACAAACGGCTATCCTGTCGGTACGGACCGGTGCAGGCGCAGAAACCCATCTTCTTGGAAGACAGGTTTCTCTTCTTTTGCGCACCAAGGGTTCTAACCAGACCCCCAAACATGGATACACATGGGATGTATATACCTGCTTCAAATGTTCTTGTTTGAATCTTTTTAGGGCTCTCTCTCTCTCTCTCTTTGGAATGTTGCTCTGTTTTTGAGCTACACTAACTACTGTACTCTAATTATATACACAAAAGGCACCACTCCTCCAGATCAGCTTGGCCAGGCGATCTGATCTGCCCCTGCTGTGCTCCTTCGGAACCCCTTTGGTTCTTTGACTCCTCAGGCGCTCATCCCCTTTGCTTGCTCGGACGAGTTCCGTCCGCAGCTGGGCATGGATGGCGCCCTAGGCGCGACGACGGAGGATCGTCGTCCCTCCGAGGGTGGTCCGGGTGGTGGGTGGTGTGGGACATGGATTTTAGATGATTTGGCTGGTTTTCAAAGGATTGAGCAAGCTGATGGTTTTTCATTGAGCATACCAAGATCGTTCTCGCATTTCAATTCACGTGGGATCCGATGATACTATACTGCCATGTGGTAGATTTTCGGGCCTCGCAAACCAACTTAGCAGTCTTCTCCACCGAAGTCGACTAGGGAGCCGCTGCTTGGGACGATTTGGTTTCGAACGTTCCGCTGTCTCGAAAGCACTCTGTCAAGTAATGTATAACTCAGTTGATGAACAACCCTCCCTTCATATGAAGAGGACTTCCAATTCAAACGCGGGGTGTTCCTAATTAATCAAGAGTCTAAATTGGCTGCCTGCGTGAACGGTGGTCCGCCAGTCATCCAGTTCGATGGAGTGTTACTATCTCTTGCTTCAGGCAAAGCAGCGTGTCGTTCAAAGGGTCACCAGGAGGAGGTGTTCCGTTCCACTGATGTGCATGAGACTGGTGTGATTGCGAGCCTCAGCCGAAGGTGGAACGAGCGGTTATTCTTTTTTGCATCCGTGCCACGTCCCACGCAATACTTTTGTGAGGAAGCTGGCAATACCTGGGATCTTCCAACTAACGCAATACCTGGATGCCTAACTTGGCTGGTTTCATCGATGAAAAGGCACACATTTGACACGTCGTTGGAAGATCCAGGTATGGACTCACTGGATCCTTACCTATAAGAGAAGGTCTCCCCCAAGCTCCCTGTGCGTTGAACACGTGTCACACCAAGCATATCCCGCATGGGTGCACACACGCACAAATCAACGGGTTCTCTTCTGCCCGAAACGGGATGAAAACTAAGGGTTGACCAGTTGACCACAATGGTTTTTCAACAAAATGGACGACTGGCTAAGGACGGAGAGCTCAGAATTCGTCAGTCGGACATGGTGACATGGCGGTCTTTTCAGGGTGCAGCCATAGTCAGAATTCATTTGGGGGGTTATCACAGCCCCGCAACCCACTGCTGTTCATCAACTCGCGAAACTGTTCATCAACACAGAAAACAGCATCCCCACACCTCTTGAAGACTGTTTTGCTGTCGATTGACCCAAGACCCTACACCAAATAGCCAGTGGCCATGCCCCCCCGAAAGGGGTGAACGGTGAATGGCTCTCTCTCTCTCTCTCTCTCTTTGGCCAGACACCTTCTCGGCCTTCATGTTCTCGGACCAGTTGCAACTGCAACAGTTGGGGATCTATTTGCTGCAAAACCTCTTGGAGCCTTGGGTGCGCGTTCATGGAGGGGGAGGTCACTTCCTTTTAACGGTTTTTTTGGTACTGACTTGAAGAAAGTACACATAGACGACATAGATATGTATAGTGTTTGAAGAACGTCATATCATCAAGTTCAAACGAGAATGATCTAGGAGATTGATCAGTGTTCAAGTCTCCATTCAGGGTGGTTTGCTGTTTGGATTTGGTGAAAGGAATAAGTCAGCAGGTGAGGATGAGGACGTGTGAAGAATTGACGGACCTCCAATCGATTGTGGTCAATCACTGAGTGACGCCCTGCACCTCACATAGAAGATCAAAGTCGAGAAGCGAAACACACCTGGTTTGCAGAGGGAAAGGAGTCAAGTCCTGGCCAATTTCCACATGTTTTTTGTGGAGTCTAGACTAAGCTGACCTACTTTTACTTGGTTGACTTGCAGAGTGGACAGAGCGCTGAGTTTCCATGGTGACACATGACCGTCGTTGTCGTCGATGCCCTTGTGTCTACCGCTTGGCACTCTTGGCTCCATGGCGCAACGAAGGAGGTCCGGACGACTCATGACGATCTCACACAGTCACTCTCCAAGCCAGTTGATTTCTTGGATATGTTTTGGTGGGCTGGAATTGCCGTGAGCACTTGGGGACATCCAACCAGTTATACATCTAAAATCTCCAACCAGATTCATTTCCATGTGGGCTTGGTAGTGAGAGGAAGTCAATGATGTCCACTGGGCATTCGTCCCAATCGTCCCACTTGACTCCTTTCTTCGAAGTTCGAAGCTGAATTCGCCGCCTCTCGGTGGGGTTTCCTTTTTTGAGCACCGCATGGCGCTGCCGGCTGATGTGCTGCCGAAGGTGCTCGCCTTCGCGCCGGCCGACCTGCAATGTTTGTCCTCGCTACGAGCGGTAAGCCGAGACGTCAAAGAGCGTACGGAAGCTGGATGGTGGAAAGAGCAGGCGCAGATGGGTTTTGCTTTAATTTAGGCATTTCACAAAGATGGTAAAGGGGAAGATTTGTTTGACCATGTTTGACCTATTAAATACTATTAGTATACATCCGTCTATTTCGTTCAATCATGTTTGGGCAAATTGTCTATTGTTCCACAAGACGTGTTCCAAAATCAACAATTCCTTGGTCAGCAGTTTTTGAGCCAATTCCAACAGGTGCGACAGATGAAAGCCTTTGTGGATCGACATGCTAACTTGTTTGCTGATGATCCAGAGATAGATGAAGAGAATGACGCTGGTACTACTGAAGAGCAACAAGAGGCGTTTGCTCGGAATATCCTCCTCTGGGTAAAGCCACTCCTGGTGAATCAGCCATGGAGGACAGACGCTTCTCATGGTGTTCATGGCGACGATTCTACTCTGCAAGCTGCCTACATCAATTTGAGACGAGCGCTGGCAAACTTGGGTCACTTTGGCTTGCCATTTGCACAATTGTATTTTGGTCTTGAGCGATCCACCGAAGCGTGGACCACCTCCATACATAGGTCTCATACGTTCCAAGCAACAAAGTTTATCGGACTTCAGTCCATCCGCCATTGTCCCCAACGAACTGCAACCAATCTGAACGGTGCCCCTCCATTTTGGCGAACATATCAAAGCATCCACCAAGTTGAGGAAGAAAAGGGAAATTGTTTGAGAAATGCTGATGGTTTGTGTGTGTGTGTGTCCACCCCTGGACAAAGGGTTTTCCACCACCACCTCTCGCAAGCAGGGGGATCAGGGACGTTTGGCTTGGCCTGATCCAACGAAGCTCCAGCCATTCGTCAGGATATTCTCGAGGGACGCCTTGAGAACGTACCTGCAAAGTTCTTCACACGCTGTTACTCCACTCTTCCACGGTTTGTTTCATAGTTCTTCATGATACCTCCCACAAACCCACCGCCACCTTGCGCCGCTTTGCAGCCGACTTTGCGTGTCAGATCGTTTTTGAGTGCAGCTGCCAACATTGTTCAACAATACGGTTTTTTGCAGACTCATGCACCTTGCCGTTCCATCACCTTCCATCCCATCGTGAACTTGCGTTAACGGAATACAAGTGTCAGAGTGTGTTTCGCTCAGCCGTCCCACTCGGGTGCTGAGTGTGACCCCCGTCACAGGGGCGCAGATTTTGCATGGGAAAGCAACCACCACAACGCACCACCACTCACTGGACTCTCACAGGAAGGCACCGACACCCTCACAGAATCAACCGACACACCGGCCGCCGGGCCAAAAAACGGTTCTTGAAGAATACATCGAATATCAACTTTCAGGTTTCGGATCCATCAAGCTCACTCCTCCAAGTCACGTTTATGTTTCCATGTTTTGCCATATCGATGCCGTGACTCTTTTATCAGCAGAACTCAAGTTTGGGCATTAGAGCTCTTCAATCTAATTCGAGATGCATGAACACACACCTACCAACAAGCTCACCTCTAGCATCACCTTACAACATACTCTCTATCGACACCAGGGATGAGACTTTCAACAACATCATGACAATACAACTCGGCACTTCTCCGCTGCATTTTTGCTGCCGCGCCGCGCCGTGCCATAGCTACGACCACGACATGCATTTTCCGTGGCCATACGCTCACGCCACGCCACCACCACTACCTACCACACAACCTCAACCCACATGGCCGCTGCCACAGCCATCAACTGCACCTACCTTTCCCACGACACAACCACCGGCATACCCTCACCCACATCCACAACCGTTTCAACCACCACCTTTTTTGTCCAATCCCACCGCCACTGCACTGACCTACGGCACACCGTCCACCTGGACGTTTGTGCAACCATGTCACGTGCCACCGCAGCCCACACATCCAACTCCAGTATTTCCGTCAGCAGCACCTCCCCCTTCATACCTGTTGCCACCACCACATCCCACACCACAGGCTGAACTTCCTCCCCCCACTACACTGACACATCCCCCTCCAACACAGCAACAGACCGCGATTGCCAATCATCCGTCCACAGACCCACAATGCGCCATCCCCCAGGGCGTTTGGCAGCCCTACTCAGCTTTTCCCCCAGTCACACAGCCTCCACCCCAACCATTACCCCCACCGCCACCTCCACAAACCATCAGCGCTTCACCACCAGTCCAGCCTCCACTCCCACACCAGACGCCATCAGATCCAACACCACCACTCCAACACATCCCCACAACCGCCACGGACGCTCCATTGCCGGTCCAAAGCATGACCCCTCCAGCTACCGCATCCCAACCTTCCGTATCACCATCGCTTGCATCAGCCACACCAGCTCCTGGACCTTCACTACCTGCAACGGACAAGCTCGACACCACCGCCTCACCAGCACCACAACCACCTTCCCCGCAGCCACCACACAGCAGTCGCCGCCACCACCACAAGAGCCGACGCAAGTCCGACCATCACCGCAGAGGACGCCACCACCACCGCCGCCGACATCGCCATCACCACCACTCCAAGCACCACAGCACAACCCGGCGACGCCGCTCACCCTCGACATCCACTTACACATCCAGCCTTACACCATCCCGCAGTCGCTCACCACCACAACCCATCGATTTACGCCCCAACACTGAACACACCAACCCAGACCCCTCTCAATTTCCTACCACAGCCGTCCTTCGTCGCCCAATCAACCGTTGGCGACCTCCACCCAACTTTCACACATTTTCACCTGCAGACCAAATCTTGGAATGGCTTGAATTCCACGCCACCCAACTCGACAACCCCAACCGACCACAGCACCAGTACATTGCCAATCTCCTCACAGACTGCAACATCACCTACAAGGAGATCACTGATTTCCGGCAATATACTCACGCCAAGTGGAACGACACAACTCACCAATACGACCAATTCCAATACTACGCCATTTCACTTCCTTTTCTCAACACAAAAGCCACTACACCAGAACCGCCTGCGGTCTCCCGAGCCACATCAACCCACCGGGAAGTCGCCCACATCAACGCAGGCCACACAGGCCCCGTCGGCAACATTTCCAACATTCTACGCCAAGGTCGATTTTTACCCAGCACACTTCACTTTGCCAACTACCCTGGCTTTTTTGCCCAGGGCGTCCGCATCACCCACAACCAACCCCATGATCACAACGAATTTGCCCGCATCATCCACAACACCTGGCAACTCCACAAGAACTCCCATTCCCTTATCATCACACTCCTTGCTTGGGGTGCCGCCACAAAATATACCTCCGGAGGTGAGGAACACGCCATGAACCTCCTTAACGATCACCATGGTGCAGTCTTCCACCAGAAAGGCCGCTGCTGGGTGATCCACCCGGACCATGCCATTGTCAAAGGACTGGCCTGGTCCACAAACTCCACTCCACCAGACACATAACACCACTGTGCAACACCTACACACCACTACCACCTTCACCTCCACCTTTTGTCTCACACCACCACATAACCTTTGCTCGTAGCAGCCAAAAAGAGCCTCCTGCAGCGGCCACGCGAAATTTGAACCTTCAATTTTTCAAGCTCTGCAGGTTTTGCTGTAAACATCTTTTCCGAATCGTACCAGCTGTTTTGATGGAGTATTTCACTTGTCAGAGTTTCATGCACTTGATTGTTCAACCTGAATTGCATTTTCGCACCATGCCCGTGGGAATTTGACGCTCGTTTAATTCATATGCACGGCCACGTGATGACGCGCTCCCGCAGACCAGCTGCTGTCCTGCTGCTTTGGCGCGCTGCCGCAGCAACCCGTGACGACTCTGTGCTACTGTACATCCCTACATCTCCAAATCATGAGCAGCACACCGACACCTCTACATAACGACACCTCAACTCTCATACACAGAACCACAGTGGTCCTTTCGCAGGTGCAAAACCTGCTCAGACAAGCAACAGATATTATAGCACACCTTCACACTCATTTCCTCCACCACATCCACCAAGCGGATCCCACTTTCCGCCAACACTTTCAGCCGCTCCCAACTCCGCCTATCCACCCTATACGTTTACCATCCACCACCTCCTCCTGTGACTCAGCACC